ATAATCATCACCATCATCATCATCATCAGCATCAGCATCATCAGCATCAGCATCATCATCACCCGCATCACCATCATCACCATCATCAGTATCAGCATCATCATCTTCCTCGTCATCATCATCGGCATCATCATCAGCATCATCATCAGCAGCAGCATCAGCATCAGCACCAGCACCAGCATCAGCAGCATCATCCTTCTCATCCTCCACATCCTCATCCTCCTCCTCAGCATCGGCATCGTATTCCTCATCCTCCTCCGCCTCCTCATCTTGTTCCCCCTCACATCCTCCTCCTCATCCTCCTCCTCCTCCTCATCATCATCATCATCATCATCACCATCAGCATCATAATCATCATCTCATCATCAGCATCATAATCATCACCATCATCATCATCATCATCAGCATCATCATCATCATCATCATCAGCATCATCATCCGCATCACCATCAGCAGCAGCATCATCCTCAGTCTATTCATCCCTCCTGCTTCTCCTCCTCCTCATCCTCCTCATCCTCCTCCTCCGCATCCTCCGCATCCTCCTCCTCCGCCTCCGCGTCCTTTCTCCTCGTCCTCCCTCCCTCCTCCTCCTCCTCCTCCTGCTCATCCTTCTCCTCCTCCGCATCCGCCCCCTCCTCCTCCTCATCTTCCTTTTCCTGCTCTGCCACCTCCTCCTCCTGCTCCTCCTGCTCATCCTTCCCTGCTCCTCATCATCCTTCCCTGCTCTTCCTCTTCCTCCTCCTCATTCCCTCAGCCTCTGCTCCTTCTCCGCCTCCTCCTCCTTCTCTTCCTCCTCCTCATCCTCCTGCTCTTCCTGCTCCTCATCCTCCTCCTGCTCCTCCTTCCCTGCTCCTCCTCCACCTCCCCATCCCTCCTCCTCCTCCTCCTTCTCCTCCTCCCTCTCCGCCTCCTCCCCCCCCCTCACTCCTCCCCCTTCCCCCTCCCCCTTACCCCTCATCCTCCTCCTCCTCCTCCTCTCCTCCTCCTCCTACCTCCTCCTCCTCCTCCTCCTCCCCCCTCCTCCTCCTCCTCCTCCTCCTCCTCCTCCTCCTCCTCCTCATCCTCTTCATGACGATCTGACCCTTCCTGCTGACATTGTATGGGCCTGCGGTAGTTTTTTCCCCAAATTCATCATTGGAAACGAGGATGTGTAGTTGTTGTTCTGCGTGGACGCGACGGTGTCCCTGCACGCTGGGTGCCGTAGGCTTCAGGAGTGTTTGATATTATCAGCGGCTGATGGTGAGCAGGAGGATCCTCTATAGTTCTATGATCACCGCAGGCGGCACGTATGGTAGTCGCCTCCATTTCCGTTTCACCACAAATTGTACATTGCCATTGCGTGGCAACCTTATCTTGTGCGGCATGAATTATAAGTTCATCATTCTTGCTGATGCTGTCTGGTTTCTGCCATCGCCAGCCGCGTCCTGTCCTCGGGCAACTCCCTGCATGTCAAATCGCAGCCGCGAAGCACACCTATGTGATATCACTCATGCTGTTGATCTGGTGCTCCGTCGCTACTTTTTTGATCAGTTCCAGCTGTTCATATTCCACCTCTAGCTCAGCATCTGCACATACCTGGCGCGTGCCAGTTGCTCAGCTTGCGCCCGGAAGTGCTTAGAGATCTCTTCCCCCTTGACGCGGTGAGCCTCGCTTGCTTCATGTTCCCATTGCATGAGACGCTGGTGCTGAGCTTGTATGTGTGTTTCCATCTTCTTGCGCTCATGCTAAGCTTCCAGTGAGGAGTGGTGCGCTGCAGTGGCCAACTTCTGCTTCATCACGTACTCCATGTGGTCGTGTTGCTGCTGGCACTCGGCCAGAGTATGTGTGGTCCTGGCATATCGATCCCCATGTGATTGCCTAACTCCAGCATGCATTACATACAATTTGGCCTCCATTGACTATCTCATGCAATTTGAACTCTCCGTAAATCAGCACTTGCTTAACCTCAACCAACATGTTCGACGGCGTCCCAGCGCTACTTACCCATACTGCTAGAGTCGGTTCCTGCTTGACGATCGCTACCAGCGCTAGAACGACACTCGAAGATTTTGCCAAAGGCCTCTGACCGACAGAAGTGCCGCGAAAGCAAGGACGCCCTCGAGGGCGCCAAGTTATTCGCGCTCCACGGTTCGGCTCCGATTTCTCTTGATCCTCTCCTCCTCGCTTGGGGGGCGGCGCGAAAGCGCGAAGTTAGGGGGGACGCGAGACGGAGAAGGCCTTCTCAGAATGCGGCGAGGCTTCCCAGAAGTCTGTTGACCTTCTGAGGGGTTTTATGTGTCTCCAGAGAAGGCTTAGAAAACTCCTCAGAAAGCCGGGTGACTTCCGAGCCTTCGGAGAAGTCTCGCCCTTTCTCACTTTGCCCTGGCTCGCCGCCGAATGTAGCGGGCCCTGCAGCTAAGTGCTCCGCTGCGTCCAGTGCCCAGAGTGGCATCGTTAAGGGCCATTTTGGAGGCGATCAAGGCTGAGGGTAAAAGAGTTCGGCGCCCTCTTGCTGCCGCCGTTGCCCCCCCCCCCCCGCCCCCGAAAGTTGCTGGGTTTCGCTCCAAGTACACTCTTATGGAGCGTCGCTGGCGTTGTTCCAGGTGTCGAAGCTCTGCCAAAGAGCCTGGCGATGCGCACCGGCTGTCCATGGAATGCTCTGATTTGATGTCTGTGACCGATAATGTCTGTGAGAGGCCTCGCGGTCGTCGTGCATATCTCGCTGGTCGAAGACGGAAGAATTGCATAAACAGCAATTGTCGAAGCTCTGAGCGGATTTCTTAGATCGGCGCTGGGGACCCCCTGGCGGCGCCGGAGGCGCCGCCCCCATGGCGCGCTCCGCACGCCAGAGAGGGAGGTCCAGCGCCGATCCCAGAAGTCCGCGCGGATTTGAGAGCAATTCTGTTTGTGACGTTGTTCTTCTTCCTTTAAGAAGCCTCAGGGTCGTCGTTTATATCTGGCGATGGTTGGGAATGACAGTTGTTCCTGTGGTTCTGCAAGGGTTGCGAATTTTACAGCCAGCGCCAGCTTCGAGGCCTTGCGAGTTTGTATCTGGATCGTCAGGCCCCACCCGTTCCTTTACTCAAGTCGCGGCGGAAGTACCCTGGCCATTTTTCGCGTGACTTCTGGCCCAAGGCTCTCAGCAAGGTTGAGAAGGCGGGTCGGGGTCATTAATCATATGCATCGATTATCTTCGCGATCGGTCTCATATCATCTCATCTCAATCGGCCTGCTCGGCTTCCTGGTTCTTCCCCTCCTGTGACATCTTCTCGTTGCGAAAAATGACGACAGAAGGTGTTCGTTAATTGCCAGTTACACAGCGTAGTTACGCATCCAGGCGCAGCAGATGTGATTCGATATCGATTCCGAACCGATGCCGCCCGGCTCGATGCTGGCTTATCTTGCCCCCTCTTCCGCCGCTTCGCCCTCTCGCCAGACGGTGTGCACGTATTTGGATCCGTGCGTTGGTTTGTCCCTGATGTTTGTCTTAAGACAGATGTCAAGGAGAGGCCAATGCACGGGATCAAAAACGTGCGCACCGTCTGGCGCGAGGGCGAGCTGACATAAACAATTGGTCATGTGTGTGCTTGTCCACCCCGCGCCTTCCCGGTTGATGATAAGGAGGAGGAGGAGCGAGGAGGAGGAGCGAGGAGGCGGAGTAGGACGAGGGGGAGGAGGAGGAGGAGGAGGATGCACACGGCGGCATCCGCAATTGGGTCCGGAGAAGTCACGTACGGTGCACATGCGGAAATCCGCGCAGATGTCGTGCTTCGGCGCTGGACCAACTCCTCCTCCTCCTCCTCCTCCTCCTCCTCCTCCTCCTCCTCCTCCTCCTCCTCCCCCTTCTCCTCCTCCTCCCCTCCTCCTCCACCTCTCCTCCCTCCTCCTCCTCCTCCTCCTCCTCCTCCTCTCCTCTCCTCCCTCTCCTCCTTCCTCCCCTCCCCTCCTCCTCCTCCTCCTCCTCTCCTCCTCCTTCTCCTCCTCCTCCCGTCCCTCCCTCTCTCCCTCCCTCCTCCTCCTCCTCCCTCCCTCCTCCTCCTCCTCTCATACATCATCACTCCTCCTCCTCCTCCTCCCCTCCTCCTCCTCCTGCCCTCCTCCTCCTCGCTCCTCAGCCTCCTCCGCCTCCTCCGCCCTCCTCCTCCCTCCGCCTCCTCCTCCCCCTCCTGCCCCCTAAACCTCCTCCTCCTCCTCCTCCTCCTCCTCCTCCCTCCCTCCCTCCCTCTCCTCCCTTCCCTCCTTTCCTCCCTTCATCCTTCCTCCCTTCCTCCGTCCTCCGTCCTCCTTTTCCTATTTCCTCCTCCCTTCCTCCCTCCTCCCTCCTCCCTCCCCATCTCCACCCTCCCCACCATCCTTCTCCCCTCCTCATCCTCCCTCCTCCTCCACTCCTCCCTCCGCCTCCTCCTCCTCCTCCTCCTCCCTCCTCCTCCTCCTCCTCCCCTCCTCCTCCCTCCTCCTCCTCTCCTCCTCCTCCTCCTGCCTCCTCCCCCTCCCCCCTCCCCTCCTCCTCTCTCCTCCGCCTCCTCCTCCTCCTCCTCCTCCTCCTCCTCCCCCCCTCCAACCTCCTCCTCCTCCTCCCATCCTCCACCTCCTCCTCCTCTCCTCCTCCTCCTCCCCTGGCGGCGAGCGAGGGGAGGAAGTGAGAAGGGGCGGGCCTTCTCAAGAAGCTCGGAATTTCCCCTGCCTTCTGAGAAGCTTTCTACACCTTCCCCGAAGTCACAGAAAACTTCTCAGAAGGCGCGAGGGATTCTGAGAAGTCCCGTCGCCTTTTGAGAAGGCCTTCTCCATCTCACTTCCCCCCCCCGTTCGCCGCCGATCTTCTCGCCAGCGCGCCCCCGCAGAGGCGCTCTTGAACTTCATAGAGAATTTTCGGGGCTCCGACGGGGCGCCGCCGACGCTGTCGAACGCCGGATCGGATGCTCAGGCGGGCGAGCGCACTCTTTTTGTTCGGCGGCTTGAAATCGGTAAGGTTACGTCGGGCATGTCCCTCTACAGGAGGACTATCGGGTATGGCCAGGACCCCGGGTAAGGGGACCCGGTTAGTGGTAGGGCCCCGGAGCATTGGAATTGGCCAGAATCACTAAACCAGGTTTGCCATAGCTGGTGTTTTTTCGGGTGACGGCAGTTCCGCTTAGTGGAAATGGGACAGGGGGGCGCCCCCCGTACAGATCACTAAACCAGGGTCCACTAAACCCAGTTCTACCAACGCCCGAGAATATTCAAGAATAGTAAAAAAGATAGTCTGCGGACGGTATCTGATTATATTCACTACTTTAGAATATCTGGATGTTTGCGTCCAAATTCCGCCTGTAGGAGGACATGCCCGCTCTACTAGTAAGGGTGAGGCCGCTTATCAGATCGATCAGAGGGGGAAAAGGCATTCGGCATTTCGTCATCGAAGGGAGGGGGTCACAACCCTTCCAGCCGAACAGGTTTAGACCCCCTTCCAGACCAGCCATGACAGGGCGGCCGTCTGCCCAGACCCCCGCAGAGACCTCCAAGGCAGTTCCGATCGGACCTCCCTCCCAGATCAGGCCGCCTCCCTTTTTAATGCAAAACCCAGAGCACCTCACTTCCCCAGACGAGGGCCGTCAAAAAAAAAAATGTGTAAAACCCAGGGCACCCGTTTTCACCCGTTCGAGGCCTCCCGGGAGGCCCGTCGCCACCGTTGGCTTCGCCCCGAGATCTGGTTCGGAACGCATGTTGGGAGAGGCCCGGGGAGCAGCGGCATCGGCACCCATTTGGGCGTCCCCAATGGAGGCCAGCATGTCACGGAGTTCTCTTCCTCCTCTTCCTCCTCCTCCTGAATCCGCTTCTCCGTGTCACGTTGCAGAATTCAATGCGGTGCGTTCCGCTCGGTCGCGTCGCACTCGCGGGTCTGGAGCCAGATGTTCAGCGTACAGGTTGTAGGGCAACCCTGTCAGCAACGTCAAGACGATATCCGAGATGTGTCTCCCTGTCTCCCTGAAAGACAGCGCTGCAAACGCGAGTACATCCACTTGTGTTGCTGCGTATGTGCAAAACCATCGCAGGTTTGAGACTCCTCGCATCAGCTTCTCTTCATATGATCGAATTCACGTAACGGTGGAGCAAACTGTGCCCAACGTGAGCCCGTCTCACGTGTGCATCGCCATTGCCAGAGGGTTAGCCCCGTTTGAGTTCATGGTCCGTGTGCGGTGCGCGTTCGATCTCGGTGCCCGTCTGAAGGGTTGCAGGTGTCAGGGCAACAGTACTAGCGTTCATGGCTTCCCAACTACTCACCGAGCGCGTTCCACTACTCGCAAAGTGCCTACTCGCAAACGTCCGAAAAGCACATGACCGCTTTGATGTAATGTATCGTATATCGTCTGCGGGGGATCCAGGCCATTTGCGAGTAGTTACTTCGCGAGTAGTGGAACGCGCTCGTCTAACCACGACAGCCAGCAAGTCTGGTTCAGACACTTCAGCATCACCCAGGTCATAGTCGCCACAACCAAAAGTACGATTGTCACGAATGCGAGGAGGTCCATCTCGATCCGCGAGAAGGGGGGAGGAGCAGGAGAAGGAAAGTACGAGGGAGGAGAGATGAAGGAGGAAAGACAGAGAAGGTAGGAGAAGGAGGATGAGGAGGAGGGGAACAGGGTCAGGAGGAGGGAGCAGGGAGAGTGGAGGACGAGGCAGGCGGTTGGGAAGTAAAGAGGAGCACGAGGGGCTGCGGTTGCGTGTGACCGTCGAGAGTCACGCATCAGTGCAAAGGTGTTGCAAACCGTTTTCGCATCGCCAAGGAAGTTAGCGCGGGAGGGCGCGCCAGTGCGCTCTTGGCCGAGTACGGACAAGACTTGAGCACGAGATGTGTATCCCGCCCTTCCACCCCATCCTGCTTCGTTCCTCATCCCACCTCCGCCCTCCTGCCTCCCCCCTCTCCCAACGACTGGTTCGCGTCGTGTCGACGCGGCGGCGGTCCCAGGCGCGGGGGAGTTCAAGGTGGAACGCCGCCGGTGCTCTGGCATCGGCCGACATCGACCGATCTGCGCTGCCAGCAGACCGCAATCGTCCAGGGCTGGAGAGTCCACGCGTTATCAGAAACCAACGGCGACGTCGACGCTGCAGGACTCGGCCGGGCCGCACGTGTTCTCTGATCCATGTTGCTTCCACGCGGAGTCGTCATCTCTCCCCAGCGGAGGTCCTCGAGGACAGAGTGGCGCTCATCCCCCAAAGCATGCTTCACTGCCTTCTCCTTCCCCCCTCTCTCCTTCTCCTGTCTTCTTCCCCATCCTCCCCTAAAGTTCTCGTTCTCCTTCAGTGGAAACCCATGCCAAGAAGCACCCTGCTTGCCTCCAGGGTGCCCTGGGTTTCTTGGTGCTCGATGGCGTTGCTGTGGAAGGCGTGACGTGCCCACACGAAAAATCAAGGAACGCCCTGGGCTCTCAGGGGTGGGCCTCTTGTGGCAGGTCTCTTGTGGCCGAGAGCCCCCCCTGCATCTCATCCCTCCGCCCCCCCCCTGCGGTCAAGGCGCTGAGGACAGGGACCACTCCAGGGGCC